AGTATGAAAATCCTTCTGACAAGAAACCTAAATTCCTCATCATTAGTCTTTCCAAAGAACTTAAGCTAAAGAAGAGAAAATGATCTGTTGAATAGTTTTTCATCATCCAACTTCATTTATTTTCTTTAAAGACTGCAAGATAAATCCTCAGATCACATCATATTTAGGATGTAAACACCCAAAAAACTACGACTTTAGATTTAAGTCAAGAACCAGTCCTCTCAGAATTTGCTTGAAAAGATTAGATGAAGTGTAACTACTTCAAGCTTCACAAACTGATCCCCATAAAACCAAGCACAAGACTTCAAAGATAGTCCAAGCATTAGACATATCAATGATGTTGATATTCTCAAAAGTGAGATAGTGCATCTACCATACTACAGCTATCTCTGAAGATATTCAATATGCATCTTTTGAGTTGGTGTAAAAGATTTTCAAGACGATTATTTATAACACCATCAACTTTTATAGTAATACCTTTTTCAAGGATATTTCATAGACCTTCAACAACCCTTTATCAAATCCAATGAGTTATAAATATGTTTAGCTTTTCCATCATTTAAATTCAATGGAATCACCCATTTGAATATGGTAGGAAAATCCGTATGATATTTTTCATGTGGCACTTGATTCCTTCTTGAAGAAGAAATATATATTTTCTTATTGGATCAATATATATACCACTGTTAAGCATAAACCACGCTCTGATACCAACTGAAGGTGTGAAAAGTACACAAGAATGGGGGTTGAATTGTGTTTCGCATTTTTCTTATTATTTAGCTTCTGATCAGAGTCTCAGAATCAGAACTAGTGTTTAGATTCTGAGTTAATTCAGTTGGTAGGGGATACAACAGAAGTAAATAAAATAACAGCAGAAGACACAAAATATTTATATTGGTTCCTCCCCTATTTGAGAGTAGTCTAGTCCCTTTGCCTTACAAGAGCTTTTCATTATAACCACTTCATGATTACAACCGCTTATGCTTTTGCATAAGACTTTTAAAACTTCTTAGATCAATTGTGTGAGACTTCCCTTGCTTAGAGCGCATGTCTAAGACTTACTCTTGCTCACACCATCAGACTGAGTCGTTTGATCATCTGTTCTCTGATTGAGACTTCCCTTTTCTTAGAGCACATGTCTAAGACTTACCCTTGTTCACACCATCTGACTGAGCCACATGCTCATCTGTCTTCTGGCTGAGACATTCCTTTTCTTAGAGCACATGTCTAAGACTTTACTTTGCTCACACCATCTGACGGATCCACATGCTCATCTATCTTTAGGATGAAACTTACCTTTTCTTAGAGCACATATCTAAGAATTTACTTTTGCTCAATCAGACTAGCTAAATAAGACTTTCACAACTCAAGCACTTAAGCATTGAGACTTACGTGGCTTAAACATTTTGGCTCAAGATTTGTTGCTTGAATCCCAATGAGACAAGACTTTTTGCTCTAACACATAACATGAAACTTAATCTAACTACTGAAGGCTCAGCAGAATAGAGAATAAGGTGTACATGATGCGAGCATCAGAGGTACGGGAGATCACTATAACAAAGATCTAAAACACTTAAGATTTATAAATATATATATAGGGGTAAGAAATATTAAGGCTTTTACAATTACAACCTATAATAGAAAATCTTCCTATTACATAGAGTTGATAATTGTTTAATTTTGCTACCCTTTCAATAGAAGAATCCTTGTTGAAAATTCAGGCTTGAATCCTTAGCCACATATATAGCTTCTCCAGAAACTATCCGTTGAGAAAGTGACTTGATCAAGTGTCTTTTGTTTTTGCTCCATAGCACAATAGACGTTGAAGATGGATGTACAACAGATTTATGAATCCTTTGTGTAATACGTTTAACCTTTGAGTCTTCAAGAGGTTATATACTAATAGAGTCGTTGGGAGCAAACATCCATAGAATGTACCAGCTTTTCTTGAGCCTTGCAATCTTGTAGACTCGAACTGACAGGCTGATAAGATAATACAACATGCTTTCAGTAGTACGGATAGTCCAAAGCTTTATCACCAACCTTGAATGGTACCAAAAACTGATATACAATTACTAAGCGTAAAAACTCGTCTGAGTGCTGAGGCCTTCAGCTCAGAGTCTTCGTCAAACTATACTAGAAATTTTTCTTCAGACTCTGCCACCAGAAGCTAGCAATGAAGCAACTCCAAGTGTATCTTAAGTAAATAAATTATAATTAATTATGTACATGAACAAGAACCTGCATAAATAAAACACACATCAAATAAACCATTGTTCTTCTAATACTTTTGTTATCATCAAAACTAAAATAGAAAATATCAAGAACAAATCTTGTTCTAACAATCTCACTCTTTTTGATGATGATAAACACAAGTATTTAAAGGATAATGTTGGACATATATATAAGTTTCGGGATTTAGGGTGTCACATTCTGGGTGTTGACGAAAGTGACATGCTCCTAAAGGTCACTCCTTCTGTCAAACTTTGTCAATCAAAGGGGTTTATAAACTTTTTGGTACGGGTCCCCTCCCAAATTTTGTCAAAAAATGGTTGGGGGTCCAAAACTTAGATTTCCTCAAGTAGGTCGACCTCCTACTGTCAATGTTGAAGATTGATGACATTATTTTCTAAAGCATGATTGTGGCAACACATTTCTTCTATATCATCTTTCATTTCTATTATGGTCTAATGATCGTTGTCGGAACTAGTATTGGCTGACATGGTGTCTCGCATTTGTAACATCTTAAGGGTGGCGGTTGAGACAGTTTCTGAGGTGAATATAGATGTGTCCTATAAAAGTTTTATCAATGCCACACAGTGGGTTTTAATTGTACTTGTTGAAAGTACAATAGTTGAAAGAGGGAGAATATGTGTATGTGGTGGTTGCGAGAGACTTTGTGTATTTATTTCTGAAATCTATGGATATCTTTTCTCAATTCTAAGAATTTGTTATATAGAGGACCTATTGGTCAGGAGACCAGATCCTCCCTAAATTATGTATGGGGGAGGCAATTTTTTCCTTTATCTGATACTTTCTAATCGTTGCTATGTGAATAGCTAGGAGTTACATGTATTAAACAAAGTAGGCTCTTAATACTAGTTTGAGCTATTAATCCTATTTCAAGCACCTAAGCCATAATGGACGACCACCGCCCATTTTTGGCAACTAAGTCTGTTTCAAGCGTTTGTCCAGCCTTCTTGCATGTAGTTTGCTTTTTTCGTGAGCTGTTTAATCATGAACCATCTCTTTTAAACCTAAAAAAATTATCTCAAAAAGGTTTTAAGCTGGTAATTATAGTTATGTCAGATAAGGTGATAGTGAGCATACCACAAGGAATTTGAAAGTTACAATTTGAAGGATTGAAATCGTAATTCAAGTTATTCTCACTACAATTAACAAGATGGCCATTTAATTTTAAATCAGTTTAGATTGTTGACTTGTAATCAATTGTAGCTTAAATCATATCTTGAACCATGATATCTATCAACTAAATTTCTCAAACGACTTAACATGAGTCATAGATTAATCATTGAGTTCAACATGATAAAGTCTTAAGTCATCAATGTGTACATATGTGGATGCTCATGACATGATTCAACATCATTAAAAACTAGATTGTATTGATTGAAATTATAAAGAACTATTCATTAAAGATCTTTCATTCAGGAGCTGCAAAGCAAGGAGCATCATGTTGCTTAATAGTTTAATGTTGATTTCATGAATATGCAGAAGTTATGCATCAAGAATAAAGAAAACTGTTTTCATATGATCATGCTAATGACCTTGGCATATCAAAGAGAGAGAAAAGAAAACTAGATCTATGACTTCTTTCTCCCTTTGGACACTGAAGTTGGTATTTGTAATGGTTTTAGTTTTGGTATATTGGTGACTTAAAATTTGTCTAAATAAGTAAAGATTAAGTAAATTTGTGGCACATGTTGCTTTCATATATTTTCAGCCGATGCAATTTTGTCTTGAAGGGGAAGAATATTTTTGAGAATATTCTTAATTTAGTTGTGAAATCTTATTGGTTTTTCTCTATCATCTATAAACCAATCATGGCTTCGTTTTATATTTTTGTTTTGGTGTTTGTGGCGGACTATATTCATAGATTTAGATTATAATTAATTTATAAACAACACTCGTATTTATTAATGGAAAAAAAAATGAATATGCATGACAAATTAAATTTTTTTACACTAGGTATATCCCACCAAATTATATTTTTTATATGATATATTCTCAAATGATTTAAAATAATATTTTTTATATGATAGAATATTATAATTTTCTCGAATAATTATAAAACTAATTTATATCCACAACACATTACTTTGCTTTAACCTATTTATTAATTAGACGAAATGTCTTTTATAAATTTTAAATGAACTTAATTGTTATGTACTAAGAGTGAAATATATCATTTTATCATATTTTATGATTAATTTAAAATTTTCAATATGACATGATTGATGAGATGCATGGTCGTCATTGATTGATAGTATAAAAAATATTTATACGGTCCGTTCATCACTTTTTTTCATTTTAAAATTTGAAGATTCATTTTAAAACAAGACAAACATAAAAACAAAACAAGACAAATGAATCAACGGAAACATACATCAAATAGTTTATATTAAAAAATAATTTATTTAATTAATATTAAAACTTAATTCTTTTTATCAAATCAAAATTAATTTTTGCATGACCTAAATGGAGTAGCTTACTCTCATTCCTAAAATAGGATATCTCATAAACAAGAAACATATTATAGTAGAATTGAGATTTGAAACACTTTGTTTCTCAATTTTTGTTGAGCTTATTATATAGTGTTTCTTGAAGGAATAAAACATCACTATCACCCTTGAATAGGTTCCTATTAAGTGCTTAGATTCATTCATTGCCTTGTTCTTTCCACTTTCCCTTTTCTCTTTACTCACTCTCCTCTCTTGTGTCCAAACCTAGTAATATTCATCACTCTTGGATTTGCATCTTCAATGGTTCATCAAATTACTCTCATATCTCCAGCAACTCTCATAGCTATTACTGGCATGTACTATACCATATAAATCAATATCATCCAAATTCACAAATTAAATTAAACACTTTTTTTCAATTCTCTTTCCTTGAGCAAAATCAAATGATTATAGATGATGAATTGATTGATATTATTTGTTTTTTTTTTTCAGGTAGGAGGAAGAAACTTGGTGAAATATCTGCTGCAACTGGAAGATACAAATTGAGCTCACTATCACAACAACCACATGTTCATTGGAATATTCAAAGGCATATTCCATGGTTTGGTTTCAATAATTCATCAAATTATTATTATTCATATGGTAAGAATAATACAAGTTCCATGGTGAATGTTTCTGATGGAGAAGCCATCTCTCTCCCTCATGGTTGGCCACTTGAAAAGGTTTGAGAATTTTTTTTCATCTTAACTTACTTTTTCTTCATATTATTATTTCATTTTTGACAAAAAAAAATCTCCTTTATTTTCTACTCATACCCCCTTAAATATCTTTCATGTATTGAGTAATCCCAAAGGCCCAACCCAAGATATACCAATCCCAAAGGCCCAACTAAAAAAATTGATATTTAAGGAGGGTGCATTTTTTAAATAATAAAAGTAAACTTTCAACATTTTATTATTTCTAATAGAAATTAAAACAATATTTTTACAAAGTTACTGCATCATCTATTTTTATTCTAGATGATATATTTACATGGTTAATATTTTTATTTATTTAATTTTATATTAAATTAAATCATAGTCAAATTTGTTACTATTTGAATTAATGAATATTCAAAATTTTCAAAGTCAAACTTTGACCTAAAGATACATTTTTATCTCCACCTAACTAAAACTCAATCCTAATGCATACCTTCAAACCTACAATGGGATTTGAGCTAATTTTGGATGGTGAACTTTCAAGTTTATAAAATAGCTAACATTATAATTTTAATATATCATTTATCATTTATTCAATAAATTTTAAATTTTAACTTTTGTTTATAGTAAAAAATGGAATATGCAAATTTTTAGAAAATTATAAAACTATTATATGGATATATATATTTAGACAAACTCTTTTTGATTATTATTCCTATTATTATAAATAAAAATTAATTATTATTTTCTATTTAACAATTAATGTATATAGTTTATATATTGACTAAATACATTCTTTATTAAATGATTTAAAAAAAGCTAATTTATAATATTAAATATACAAGTGCAATTTATTCCATATAAATTTTGATATTTTTCTACAGAATATTGACTGGGGTGTCTTTTATTTAAAGACTGTTTTTATTTTGAACATTTCTATATTACAAAAGAAACTCATTTTTAGTATAAAAAAATGAGAAAAGAGGTGATGTAGATGTAAATTATTTATACACAATAAATTAATGATAATTATGTATTCCATCACATCACAATTATATTTTAAATTTTTTAAAATAATATAGTAGATTTTTAATTTTTTGTATAAAATTATTTACTTGCATATTCACTTAACTCAAAAAAATGAGAAAAAAAATACTCCTTTTACACTATAATAAATACTACTATTATTATTAAGAAAGATTCACTGTATAAAAAACCTTAGCTGTTAACGAGTTGTGTCATAGTCCATAAAAATATCTCTTTATTTTAGTGATTTGTTGGATTCAATGCATTTATATTTTCTTTTTTATAATAAATTTTTTAACACAAACTATTTAATTTTTTCTAAGCTAGGTTTTATTTGTTAGGCATATTTCAACTTCCTACCGCTTATATTGAATAAAATTAATATTAAAAAAATTGACCAAAATTATTTAATTAACAGTAGTATATTATTTAAATACAATAATAGACCTAATTTATTGACCAAAATTTTCTCTCTCTCTCTCTCAAATTGATTCCAGCAAACACAACATAACGCAAGCATTTTTCTCTAACCATCATCATCAAAAATAAAATAAAAAAACAAAAAAAAAAACATTTTTCCTTAATTCGACGCACACCCAGGACTCTCCTCGTTGTTCTGTTCCTTTTCCATTCCTTAATTACTCCAAACCCAAGCCATGGATTCCCAGATCCATGGCTTGTACCATTAAACCCAATTCCCTTTTCCGTTTTCTTCGTACCATTTTCAATGCTCAGATCCGTTTAAACAATTCACATCACAAAATCCATCTCTCTAACCATGAAATTGTCACAGGTTTCTGACGATGAAAAGGGTTCCAAAATGAAGGGTTCAAGCCGTTTCTTCACAATAGGGCTTGTAGCAGCATGGTACTCTTCCAACATTGGTGTTCTTCTGTTGAACAAGTACTTGCTCAGCAATTATGGCTTCAAGTATCCTATTTTTCTCACCATGTGTCACATGACAGCGTGTTCTTTGTTTAGCTATGTTGCCATAGCTTGGTTGAAGGTTGTTCCTATGCAAACGATTCGATCCAGGGTTCAATTCTTCAAGATCTCTGCTTTGAGTCTTATTTTCTGTGTTTCTGTTGTATTTGGGAACATTTCTCTTCGTTATCTACCTGTGTCGTTTAATCAGGCTATTGGTGCTACCACGCCTTTTTTCACTGCGATTTTCGCGTATATTATGACCTTTAAGAGAGAGGCTTGGCTCACTTATTTCACCCTTGTTCCTGTTGTTACTGGTGTTGTCATTGCTAGTGGGGTATGTAACTTCTATCACCCTTGTTTTCAATTGTATGTTTTGCATTGTTGAGTGGAATTGTATGAATTATGAAATGGGACATGTTTTTTAGATATTGACTTTTTTATGATTTGATCATTGGATTTTATCTGGTTTAGGTTTGTTTTCTGTTGTGGTTTCAGCATGAGATGTTGTGTTCAATTGGAAAGTTACAGACTTTAATTATTAGTTCTTCTTTTAGGCCATTCTTTGTGTTCAGTTGACTATTTATTTTTACAATGTGGATTTTCTGGCTATTGATCTGTTTCTTGTTCCTCTATTTGATCTTAGGGTGAACCGAGTTTCCATTTATTCGGATTCATTATATGTGTTGCGGCCACGGCTGCAAGAGCCCTGAAATCAGTACTACAAGGAATTTTGCTGTCTTCAGAAGGGTAAAGATTAAGAAACTTATCAGTTATCACTGAACTTTTTTTTGTGGTTTTCAAGATATGTATTCAAATTGGACTGATAATCCTTCTTGTGTGTATCAGAGAGAAGCTGAATTCGATGAACCTCCTGCTTTACATGGCTCCAATGGCTGTAGTTTTCCTTCTCCCTGCTACACTTATAATGGAAGAAAATGTGGTTGGCATCACATTGGCACTCGCCAGAGATGATGTCAAGATAATTTGGTATCTGCTATTTAACTCGGCTCTTGCGTATTTTGTCAACCTGACCAATTTTTTGGTCACGAAACATACCAGTGCTCTGACTCTTCAGGTAAGACTCAATTATTAAATAAGTTGTTAATAAATTATTTGAAACTATTAAGATAGACTTAGAAGTCAATATTTGGCTATAGACATAATCTACGATACAACATTATAGCTACCTTTGATCCATATAGTCAATTCCACCAAGTGAGATAAGATTTGTTGTCATCCCCGTTATCTCTGTCTTTCTGTATTTAATTTTCACTCCAACAAGTTCTCTCATCTCTTGGTAGTTGAGACATCAGAATTTGGTGGTTGTCAAATGCTCTTATCTTCAAATCACAATATTAGCATGGTCTTGGTCCTCTTTATTGTTCAATTAATTTGTAGCTTATTCTTTTAGTCTGATTTGTATTATTTAGTCTACGCACGAAGTGATTATTTTAATATCTGGTTCTTATGCATAATGTTTTCTTGATGTTTTAACTAATCTTAGAGTTTATTTCTACAGGTATTAGGGAATGCTAAAGGCGCTGTAGCAGTAGTTGTTTCAATTCTAATATTTAGAAACCCAGTCTCAGTCACTGGAATGATGGGTTACGCACTCACAGTCTTTGGAGTTATACTTTACAGCGAAGCCAAAAAGCGAACAAAGTGATAGTCAGTTCATCATTCTTGGGAAGTTGGAAGTCAGAACAGAACTTACAATATTTTGTTTTAGTTACTGCAAAGACAACCTCACTTCCTGAGGTGAATTTGTTTAGCATGCTAGTGACTAGAATCAGAATCTTTTACTCTAATATACAATTTTTTTGCCCCACATAGAAAGCTTCTTTGAGTTATAGCAATGCTGCAAAAACAGCCCACAGTATAAAAGTTGCAATAAGTGATATTTATCTTTACCAGTATCAGGATAATCGAGTAATGTCTTTTATATTCTTTGAGGAAAGAGCTGTAAAATTGGATATCCACCCATATGTCATTTCTACTAGTATTTTTTATTTAATGATAAAATTCACATTTTTGTCCATTGTCCGATTTTTTTATTAGTATGGTTCATGAAATTATCTTGATTTTGAAGTAAAGAATAATAAAATGAATTGAGCTCAAAGAACATATTTAACACAATAAAACCTTGCTTTATTATGCATCCATCTTCGAGAGTTTCTCCTAGTTAAATTACATATACCTGCAAACTCAAATTGTTGTAACCATGTCTAGCAACGAAACAATAAAAAATGAATGTCAACATATCATGTTTGAACTATTCCAGAACTCTGCAGACTGTTCTCTGAAGGCAGGGTATCAAGGTTACAATTGTTTTTTCCACTTAATGACAAACTAAGAGTGGTCAAATCTGGATCAGATCGATGCTTGTCCCAAGCTTCATTAAAATGCTGGCCTTTGCTTCTAGGGACACAATAAAGATATGGAATCAGAGAATGAATATCTTTATTTGATGAAATTATTCCAAAAATAAAGTCTTACTCTTTAAGTAGGAGCAGTATATGAGATATATTTGCTCTAATCTCTTCCCGGGCTGTTCTCAATGCTGCCTCCTTATACACAAGAGCAAGTTCATCTATTGATCTGAAATCAAATCATGCGTTCTAACTGAAATTAGATCAACCAGGAAAATACAGAATAAAATGTTGATATCCCCATAGCAAAAATCAGTTGCATAATCTGTTTGGGAACCTCAATCTATTGCTGCCACTTCATAATTCTCCAAAACAAAAAATTGGAAGAAAACAGATGCTGACGGTGTTCAACTAAATTGTATTATGTATATGAAAGGATGCGAACTGTGAGCAGTAGTACTTAACAAAGTGAATGAGTAACTATTGGAGGAAAAATAATTCATAGGCATCACTCACTTTTCACTGGAGATGGATACCAAATTATCACCATTGAAAATTAGTACAAACATTATTCCTAAATGGATTAAATATCAAACACAAATTTTAAATTGTGTTTTCATCTTGTTCATCATTTTAATAACTTATATTCTATTTTTGTAAATATTTTAAAATGAAAGCAACGTTACATCAGACTTCATATCATAGCATTGTGGAAGAAAAAAAAAACATCTTGAGATTAAGTCAATATAAATTTACATCAGACTAACTCTTTGTGTTCCCTTTTTTCTTAGGAGAAATAAACACACAAAAATGAGAAGTGATATCCTGAATCTTATACCCACTTAACACCACATTTATTTGAAATAAAAATTTCATGAGTAATCGGCTTAACTTACCTTGCAACATAAGGTGAGTTCCTAATCCATGTCACTCTCAAAACCACGTAAGTACACTTCATAACCTACAGAATAACAGTATATCAGAGTTAATCCGAATTATTCTTTTGCATCAAAATATTAAAAGAACAAAATTGAATGCATATCCATCAATGTCAAAGCCACATAAAGAGAAATGAAAGACAGTGCTGAAACCCCCTTGAAGTAAGTTAAGACATTAGCAAATATTTTGAATATGAATCTATTTCAACACTGCAAATTCAGCGAATGATTTTGGTCGGTACTTACAAAAATAAAGTTTAATCAAAATCGTAAGGCTAACTTTAAAAAGTGCTCTCCAAACTTCAGATTAGTAATCTGGCAAGCTTTAAAAGCTTTACTATATGTAAAAACACTCACCAACATAACAGTATCATCATCATCTGCATGCATCCACTGAAAAAATAATGGAAAAATGCGCCTGAAGTGGGCTAAAAGCACAAGACCAGCTCCATTAAATAGTGAATCGACAGATTTAAGCCATGCAATGCGGCGCTCTTTGTTTCTTGGTTGGCGCTCCAAGTGACTTAACATCTCATTCAACATCCTTTCAAACCTACTCAAGACATTTATAAATTAAATTCGATAAAAGATATGCCAAAAATTAAGGTTCATCATCATCATTGTCCAATTGAAAAGCATGTATGCAATATGCTCATAACTAAAAGTTAAAACCCAAATGTAGCCCACTGTTACAAAAACCGAGATATTGATGGACACTTTCTAACATCCATGGGTATGGTTTTGACATACCCATTTTTTACTATAAGGAAAACGGGGGAAATCTATTTGATTACAACTCTGCAGAACTTTAAGGATCTGCGGTCTCTCTACCCTAAGGGCTCATTTCTCTCAAATGATAAGATATCTCCCAGCCATACCTACCTCTCTTCTTATTTTACAGGAAGATGCCTTTTTCTTATCTAATTATCTCAGCCTTCAACTAACTAACTCTACTTCCCTCAACTAGTCTAATAATCTAGTTTTCCATCTTTGCCAGTTTGCCTAAACTAAATATCACTCAAGTTTTTAATAATAATTTTCACCTGCAGCACAATACTCCCAATCTGCTCATATCAGTCAGTATATCTATTGACTCTGCACTCAATGAGATCAAAGCTCACCTGATTGAACATAATATAACAACAACAATGGTCAAAGTTTTTTCCACTTGGTGATCTCTGCTACAGCCTGCATGGACCAAACCACATCAAAATGTCCTATGACGAACTAAATCTACAGATCGACCATTAAAACTAAAGCCTTACTCCTAGCAGTTTCCTTTGATCTCCCTCTTCCTCTAGTTATTTGATTATTCTCCATCTAGTAAAAATAAACATTATCAGCTAATTCAGCTCTCTTGAACATAAGTAAACATAATAATAATGTTGGTAAATAATAACATAATTTGTGATCCTTGGCCCATTGGTGAAAAGTTGTTACTCTCTTTATTAGCTTCTTGACAAGCAAAACAGAAAAGAACGTCTGTATAATTTGTTACTTTCTCAAATAAGTAATAATCAAGTAAAGAAATAAGGACCAATCAACTAAAGTCACTGGTTCATAAAAAATACCACATTTCTAAAGAAAGTGTTTCAAGTTTCAGTCTGAGACAATGCTCAAGAACCAAATTCATTTTCTTTCTGACGAATAAAGACATGTGAATTCATAGTTAAACAGAGAGAGGTGAGATGATTACCAGTTAAACGAATAAAGATAGAACCAACCAAACTGAATATGCAGGAAAGTAAGAAGAGGGGTGAGACAGAGAGATATCTTATCATTTGAGAAAAAATTGAATTCCTATGTCTTTATTTGTTTGACTATGATTTCCTGTATCTTTATTTGCTTAACTATGAATTTCTGTCTTTATTCTGGCGTCGTCGATGGTGATGGGAGTCCATGGCGGAGGGCCAAAATTCCGCCATACCGGCCGCGTCGTTATAGTGGATTATTGCAGAAAACCCGCAATATCGGTCGATATTTACCATTGCGGCGGGCCCAAAACCCGCCATGTATATCCGCCATAGCGCTGCCATGGCAGATATTTGACAACACTGCTTTATTCTCACATGAATTCCTATCACTTTTTACTCTCACATGGTATTTAACATGTGAAGACACTAAAGATTCCGACGTAACTAAACATTTAAAATAAAATGGGATGGAAATAGATCAATATACCATGGACTGCGCGGATTGCTTTTATGAGTAAGAGACATGAGAGTTATTGATGCTTCCACTACATAATGCCATATTTCATCATCAGAAGCTATATTTTGGCAGCAGGCATCAAGTATCACATCCTCAAACCCACCGATCTCAGCAGCATCCACATTTTTTCCAAGATGCATAAAGCTCACCATGCCCTGTCCCTGAAATTATAAACACTAAAACAATAACCACACGCTGAACAACTTTCAGATTCAACCCCTTCCATAAAGTAGTGATTTCCAAGTTTCTAAACAATCACAAATAAAACACTATTGTTTTTATGAGCATGGCCTTCCCAGCTTCACGTTTCATTTATAACTATGAGTATATTTGGATTGACTTTGAATTTATATACTGACATAAGCACTTGTGATACTACTAGAGAGAGCTTGCCGAAATAGCTTATGACATGTTCATAAGTTGTTTTCAGCTTATTTGCATAAGTTCTTTATGATAGTTTATATGAAAACATTTTCTTTATTTTATCTTTTATTGTGGTAGTAGCTAATATATAAACATTTACAAGTTATATATGGTAAGCATGTATGCTATAAGGAGTTAACTTTTTCTATCCAAACAGAACCCAAAGCACATACCTTCACCTCTGGCGACCAATGATCAACAGCAGTCAGTGCACAAGGAATCACCCATCCAGACAATTTTCCCAAATGAGGATAATCAACCTATGACAACACAATTCAAATGTCAACATCATCAATATCTTAGAATAGACATAACACAGGAAGGAAAAAAAACCTATCAAACACTAGTACCTGAGTAACAAACCATCTAAGCTGATGAGCAGCAAGAATCGCAAACCCGACCGGAACTCTAGCAGACGCGGCAGAGAACTCATCACTCTCGTCAGACTTATCAATGGAACTCTCCTTAATTCCATCCTTCAGAAAAGGAAGTACTTCAGGCAACAACTCCAGAAGCAACCTCTTCTGTGCAGGAACCAAATTACAATCCAACCCGAACTCTTCAACCTTCTGAGAGTTCCTACCATCGAAGACTGTGAGGTACGCATGGGAGAGCTCGAAAAAAGAAGCAGTTGCAAGGGAGGAAAGGTGTTTGGGGATCCATGAGAGAAACTCTGAATTGGTGTCTGTGGAAGAGGATAACAGAGCACACGCTAGAGCGAAGTCTTTGATGGAAGCGTGGATGGTGGAGTTTGTGGAAGTGAGAAGGGATTCGAGAAATGCTTTGACGGAGATGTTGGAGGTTTTGTGAGAAGTGTATGGAGTTGCGGCGAGAGAGTCTACGATTGAATTCGATAACCTAATCAGGTGGAATCAAATGGAAACTTCACTGTGAGGAACGAATGGTGAGAGAGAAAGAGAGATAGAGAGAGGTGGCTTACTGCATAAGAGTGTCTCGGAGAGTGGAGGATGATGATTCCGACATTGGCTACTGATTGGGGTTGCGCTTCCAACACCGCCGGCGCAGGAAATTTCCGACGAAAATAACACCGCAACTGGGTTTTGCCGAGTTGGCACTGGGGATGATTAATAGTTTAAAATTAAATTATTAAAAGTATTTTTTTTAATAATTTAAAATTAAATTATTAAGAGTATTTTTTTAATAGTTTAAAAAATTAACTGTTTATTTATTTTTAATGTTATTGAAAAATACACTATTTTCTTTTAAAAAAATTTAAAAAATACAACCTTTTATACTAGAAAAATAAAATTTACAAAGTAAATACTCTAAATCCTGAAAAAATAAATGACTAAATTACACTTTCTATTCTCTTATTTTGCCATTTTGTCATTTTCAAATAATTACCCAAATGAACTATGAGCCAAAACCAACACAGCCCAAGGTCTTTCCACAGTGTTGCAAGGAAAGCAACTGATGCAGCAGCTGCAGCACCATTCTGCATCCACCCTTGATTCAAAAAGTGACCATGGGGATGAATATTTGTCCATTCACCTTCTTGCTTTGGTCAAACCCTAAAAACTTGATTTCATTCAGTATTTAAGTTAAGCTCAGTTCACACAAACCCTAGCCACCACTTTGTGCAAAAATCTGAATTTGAGTTTTATTAAGAGTTTCTGATACTTTCTCTGAAGTTGTTCTAAAAAATCAAATGTTGCTTCAAGAGGGGAAGAAACATCAAAGTTTGTTCAAGAAAGGGATAGTCTGCTGCTAGTTTGCTTTGGGAAGTCTTCAAGAGGTAAGTTATTTATAAACTCCCTGTTTTCATATGCCCAGAAATCATTAAAACATGTTTGAGTGTGTCTGTTGTTCTTGGGATTGGTTGTTTTTTCATTTGAAATGTTGATGTTTGTTTTGTGATGACAAGAATGTTTTATTTGTGTACAACATTGTTCTATTGAATATGTGTGAGGTTGCAGCCATAAGGGAAGATATTGAGTTTTGTTGCTAACAAACTGATACTGTCATGCTTTTGGAGCTTTGTTAGCTTGTGTTTGTTTGATGTTATTGAGTACCTCGCATCTGTTTGGATCCTCAAAGGTAGTTCTGTTTTGGGTAGCTGTTGACTGTTTTTAAATATGATTTAAGGGGAGCTCTTGGTATGTTGTTGGACATTAAGGGTAGCAGGGTTGAATTTGGATTAGAGACTCATTGAGCTCTCCCTACTGTTGTGCTTTTTGTTTAGAGGTCGTTGAGACTTGGAATTCATAACGGGTTGATTTCATGACATTTAGTTGTCCAATGTAGGTTAACTTGGTCTGTGAATTTCTGCTTAGATTTTGTTGTTATCAATTGGTACTTTGCTTTGATGCTTTTGTTTCTGTCAGTTTTAGCTAGGAGTTGGTTGTGAGGCAAGGTTGGATTATCAATTTTGCAACTGTCATGAGAGGCATTTTGAGTTGGCTGACTGTTTTGAATGAGTTTTTTTGTGTGGTTGGTGTTGAGCCAACTGGCTATGCAAGTTGGAGGGTTTTGACCAGTTTGGTCCCATCAGGTTTTGGCTGTTGCTGTAGAGTTGTATGAGTTCATAACAGGTTTGGAATACCAAGTGAGGGCTTGTGATTACTTTTAGAGTAGTGGCTACCATTTCAATTTGTGTTTTGGTTATGTCAACTCGGTTTTCTTTTGTTTGAGTTGGATATTTCACATAGTTGTCAGATGGTTCTTCATGCTTGTTTGTCTCTCATTAGGAATTTACTTAGTGCACACTTGGACTGGCCTAGCATTTTTGTGGTGTGCATGGGATTGTTATTAAAGTTTATGCATAGGGTTGTTCCTAGAGTTAGTGTTTGAGAGTTGTGGACTGATTAGTGTAGTTGGCATGCTGTAGTTTGGTTGGGTTTAGGATGATGTAGTGTTGTATTAGGACTTCACCAAATTTGTTTAAAGGACTACCAAAACCTGTTGGTACTGAGGAGGCTTAGCTTTTGATGTTTGGATCTGAACCATGTCATGATTGAATCCGTTTTTGCATTTTGATGCCATTAGTGTAGATTTTGCCCCATTTTGATGTTATGCCAGTGCACTGTAAAGACAACAGTTGGAATTAGTGTCTGTCTTTTGTGCCACTTTAGTCTAGGTTTCTGCTTCTAGCAAGGTTGATTGGATTTATGTTATTACAAATGTCTGTTGTCGGATACAGTGCATTGGTACCTTGTTGAGCATCTTTCTTTGTCTTGTTCCTCAGTAGGACAGTTTCCCCCTACTGCTTTAGCTTAGGTGCCACCGGTTTAAGTTTGGCTTGAATTCTGAAATGGCTTGTTTGCTGTGGACATCCTGGACCTTGTTTTGTTTAAATTCAACTGTGATGTGTTTATTTTTGTTGAGCCATGTCTATTGGTCTGGTGTGTTGACAACCACCTTAAGCATGTGACTAGAACACATAGTTGCCTTGCTTGTATCATCATGTCATTGGTTGGTTCTGTTTTGAACCTTGACTGCCAGGGCTGGACAGTCCCCTAGCTTACTTTCTTCTGCTAGCAGTGGACCAAGAGATTACTGAGCTTAGGATCTAGTTTGAGTGTGATCCTTTAGTTTACTTGGATTTACTTGGTTGTTTGGTTCTGATCATGTTCAAGTTGTGCCTATTTTGCATTGAAAATGCCAAAATCTTACCATAGTTTCTGTTGGAGGGAGAGTTTATCAATTGGGATTCAGACTTGTAACTCATTTAGGGATAGCTCAGGTCTAGGCTGGGGTATTTTGGTTAAGGAGCTTTTGTTTTTTGCCTTGAGAGCTGTAAAACCATTTTGAGTAGGTTGTTTGTTTGATTTGCTGTCAGCTCATTATTTTAAGGATTGGTTCAGTCATCCTACTGCATGAAAGGTGTTTGGTTTATGCTATGATTTCCCTGTGAGAAGTTGTTGTTTGGAACAGTGGTTGTAAATCAAGATGTGTGGGCTGATTAGTGCAGTTGGTATGCTGCAAGTAAGGAGGTTTTGTGAATGCCTCAAATTGTTTGAGCTGTGTTGATAGGTTATCATTAGGGGCCTGTTGGTATTCTAGGTGATATGTTTGAGTTTGGATTTTCATGACTCATTATGTAATCCCTACTGTTGTTCCAGTCCTGTTGGAATTCATAGCATTTGGTTAAATTTTGGTCTGAGAAGTATTCTACATAGGTGTGCACCTTGCAGTCAAGATTTCACTTTTATAAGGACACAATATCTCGAATGCATCTGTGACCGCCCTTAGAGACTAGGTTTGTTAACTCATGGCTTTGAGAGAACCCCTCTTTGGTTGGTAAGTCTGTTAGGTGTTTGAGAGGTTTAGGTGGATAGATGAAGTGGTGACTGTCATTTAAATCCTTTGTCTAAGGGCTGTTGTTGGGATTTGTGTGATAGTTGAATTTGGCCAAATCATTTAGGCTCGTGGATTTCTTGATGATACTTGGAACCCCAAGTTTTTCTCTCATAATGGCTCAGAAGAATCATCATACAAAATTCCTCCAACCTGGAGCTCCATGCAATGTGCCAGCTGGGTCTGTTGTGGACAACAGATTTTTGTCATCCTAAGAGTTATGATTTCCCTACGTGTGCTCGTGCTGGAATGATAGGAACCAGCAGGCCAACATATTATTTTGTTCTGTTGAATGAGGTTGGCTTTTCTCCGGTTGATCTACAAGAGCTTGTGCATTCTCTCTCCTATGTTTATCAAAGGAACACCACTGCCATATCTGTTGTTGCTCCAATCTGCTATGCTCACCTGGCTGCTAGAATTTGTTTTTCATGTTAGGATCTGTTGTTGATTGTCATTAAGGCAATGTGTGTAGGTGTTTCTTTGGGTAAAGGTGTTGATATACGATGTTGAAGCATATGGTGTAGTGTTAATAGCATGACTATGTTGAGTTGATGTCCACAACTGTTAACTTGTTCCTCATACTTAGACTGTGTGTTTTAGTTAGTATGAAGTTGAAACTTTTCATTTGAAGCGAAGTGGTTGAATTAATATGAGTGTTGACATTGGTAAGCGCCAAGGGTTCATTACTATTTATGTTTAGCTTGTTTTGGTCTGAGCTGCTGTTTAGTCTTGGTCTTGCTATTGACCATTCAGTTTTGGATTTTCAAACCATAGTCTCAATTGCAACTCACATGCCAAATTCTTATCATAGCATCTTTTGGTTTAGATTTCTGTTGAAATTGGATCTAGTGCATATTTGAAATCTGTGCATATGTGAAATTCAGTCTGCTTGTATCTACTTTGACCATTGAAACTCAAAATGCACTTCGAGCTTCTTCATTGCGTTATCATTCGAATTTTTTTGTGTATGTATCTTTTGAAAATTTGAATGGCACCATTGTAATCCTCACGAAATAACAAGCAAGTTAGGCTTTTGTTTCATTGAATTTGATTAAGAATTGAGATAGTTTGGATTGAAATCGTATCTCGAGTCTTGCCTTGAACTTGCTCATAGTCCAACCCAGAAACACGCATGTGGATGGTTCATATTTTATGGGGGTGGTTTGATACACAGATGTATCGCCACCCCAGTGGTTAATGCCTTGCCATATCACGCACATGTCCCTTGTTCGAGCCCAGCCAGGGGCGTTTTTGCTTTTATTCCTTTTATTTTTCATGTTTTTATGCTTTTATTCCTTTTATTTTTCATGTTTTTATGTTTTTTGTTTCCTTTTCTATTTCTTTTCACGTGTATGAGAATAGTCTGGTTGGCTTAATTTTTAGCCTGCAGCCCCAAGGTCTTGGGTTCATGCCTTAGGGAGGCACTTTCCTAATTTTATTATTATTTCATTTTATTTTCTATCCCATTTTATTTTATCATTTTTATTTTGAAATTCACCATTTTATTTTCTTTCTCATTTCATCTGCGATTGATTTATTTAGTGTTTACTTGGCCTTGTGCTATGATCCCCCTAGGATTCCTAGTCCCTCCGTTTAGGATGGGAGTAGGAGAGACATTAGGTGTTTAATCCTATGCATGATAACATTAGGATAGTTTCATTCCTTTT